ATATAGTGGAAATCAAAGAACAAGAGCAAAGAGACAGAAACTAGATCTTTCTGAATATATATATTTTTGGTGATAAAATACACATAAAATTTACCATTTTAACCATTTTTAAGTGTACAGTTCAGTGGCATTAATACATTCACACTGTTGTGCATGTGATGTGAACCATTGCCACTGTCCACATCTAAGAACATTCTCATCATCCTGTACTAAAACTCTATAGCCCTTGAAACAGTGACTCCCTATTGCCCCTGCCCCTCGGGTGACCACTGTTCTATCCTGTCTCTATGAACTTAATACTTCTAGATACTTCAAATAGTGGAATCACGCAATATCTGTTCTTTGTGTCTAATTTATTTCCCTTAGCACTGCATAGTATCTTCAAGCTCATCCCTATTGCAGCATGTGTCAAATTTATTTCCTTTTAAGGCTGAATAATATACCATTGTATGATATACCATATTTTTCTCTGAATAGATCCTGCTTTACAGTTTAACTCTAAAACTGTGTCAATATTTTATATATTAAAAATAAAATAAAGCAAACAAAAATTCCTTAAAAAAAAAGCAAAAACTGAAGATAATTTGTAATAATCCACACAGAGAATTTTCAACTTTAAAGCACAGCAATTTGACTGTCTTTGAGGTATATATCATAAGGACAAAAAACCAAAACAAACACAAAGAAATACTAAAACTTCCAGGGAGCCACTTTCTTTCAGGGGTTAAAAAAAAAAAAAAAAAGTAATAAGGTTACTATAAAATTTTAAATAAAAAAAGAAAAAAGAAAAGAAATATTAAACTACATTCAGTAGTGTTATTAACACCATACCCTTTTTAATGTAAGTGGGACATATGAGAACAAATTTAAGATTTTTCTCTTCCTAAAAAAGGCTTATTTCCTAGCTATTTCCACTGAAAAGACTTGGAAGTAATGACAACATGGTATCAATAAACACTCAAAAATTCAATTTCCCACTAAAGAAATCAAGGTTTCTTGGAGAAATAACTGATTCCAGATTTTAAGCAAGATAATTACAAGTTAAGCCTGGGATATCTTATGCTTAGAAGCAAAAGTGATAAAAAACCTAGGATTCTTGTCAAAGAGACACAGGAGCCAATTTGAAGGGACTTCTATAGTACAATTTTTGCGTCTAAAAGCATGACTATAATGGAATGAAGTACAAATATATTTTTAAAAATCCTGAGTTCAAAATGATACTTAAAGAAATCTCTATTTCGTAGCCCCTAATGATCTAGGCAACTGCAATCACTGATTGCTAAAACCATTACGTGAACCCATAATTAATCTTAGCATTGCTATTTTATGACATTATATTATGATTTGTAATATAAAAGTAGGAAATATACACAGCACTATATATTATTCTTGCCACAATATCTGACCCTGAATCTAATGAAGCCTCTAGACCCAGCTCCCAGTCTTTAGGACACGTGGGTGCTAGGAGGACATGCTAAATAAAACCATCATAACAAATGAGCCAAACTTTCAAATGGGGAAAATTCTACAGAAAATGGCGGTTTCTTCAATGAATAAAAGGTATTAGGAAAGGGGAATAGCTGGGGAAAATGTTATAGATTAAGAGATTTAAGAACCTGTGAATATACCAAAACCACTAAACTGTTTATTTATTTATTTATTTTTGAGACAGAGTCTCACTCTGTTGCCCGGGCTAGAGTGCCGTGGTGTCAGCCTAACTCACAACAACCTCAAACTCCTGGGGTCAAGCAATCCTTCTGCCTCAGCCTCCCGAGTAGCTGGGACTACAGGTATGCGCCACCATGCCTGGCTAATTTTTTTTCTATATATATTAGTTGGCTAATTAATTTCTTTCTATTTATAGTAGAGACGGGATCTCACTCTTGCTCAGGCTGGTTTAGAACTCCTGACCTCAAGCAATCCGCCCGCCTTGGCCTCCCAGAGTGCTAGGATTACAGGCGTGAGCCACTACGCCCAGCCAAAACTATATACTTTATTTTATTTATTTATTTATTTTTGAGACAGAGTCTCACTTTGTTGCCCAGGCTAGAGTGAGTGCCGTGGCGTCAGCCTAGCTCACAGCAACCTCAAACTCCTGGGCTCAAGCAATCCTCCTGCTTCAGCCTCCCGAGTAGCTGGGACAACAGGCATGCACCACCATGGCCGGCTAATTTTTTATATATATATCAGTTGGCCAATTAATTTCTTTCTATTTATAGTAGAGACGGGGTCTCACTCTTGCTCAGGCTGGTCTCGAACTCCTGACGTTGAGCAATCCGCCCGCCTCGGCCTCCCAAGAGCTAGGATTACAGGCGTGAGCCACAGCGCCCGGCCTAGAAATAGTATGTATTTTTAATGGATGACAATACATGATTTTCAATCAATGTATTTTAAAGCTGACTGCTTTTTCCCTGTGGTCATGAAGGAAAACACTACAGTCTCTATTATACAGTGCCATGAATACTACTCACATGCTGTTATGTAAATAGGTAAACTATAGCATATATTTAACATTTGTTTTCCATTTTTCCCTCGTTAGAACAAAACTGAATGGTAACAATATACATCAAACTATTCATGCCTCAGAATCTATTTATCAAGAGCCTATTATATACTAGGTCCTATATCAGATAGTCTGCATATTGTTTATAGGTTGGAAAGTATGGGAAAAAAACAGGATTGGAAACTTTCTTCTCCTTGAAAATAATTACATTCTATAAATTAAGGCTGAGAGAACTCTGAAACTTTTCTTTATTGGAAGAATCTCTCTCAAAAAACACGTTTGTGTCAATCATTTAGCTGAAATGATCACTAAACATACGCACGTACACAACATAAAATCTGTGATCAAGGAGAACAAAGCAAAATTTAGTTTATGGTATATCATTTCCATTTTCCCACCAAGTACAGAATCTGGTCATTTTACTCGGTCTCATGGGTTCAGGAACTCTTAGGGCTAGGAAACAATTTTGGTTTCCCAACAGTCTATAACATAGAGGTAAAAAGTGTAAAATACACTATAGTGCAGAAAGTAGTGAATAAAAAACAAGTGCTATACTAGGTATTGGGTCTTTTATCAGGGCAGCTGAGATCAACTGCGCAGAAATTGGTGAAATCTCCACTGACAACTCTCTGTTCGGGTAAATAGATGGATAATGGAGCCAGCCCAGGGGCCCCTGTGAGATAATGATGTGCTTTCATCCTGTTACTTCAAGGACATTGAAAGGTAATGCTGGAATAGCCTGCTTTTTAAAAAATCTCACACATTCAAATCAATGTTCATTAGCAAGGAAACATTCAGGAATAGGTTTATTTAATATCTTAGAAAAGATTTTGTAAGACACAAGGCTTTAAATTAGAAAGTTATTTATTCAAAAATATTTTCTCCTAATTCTGAGTCCGTATCAAATTAAATCAAGGAATGATACAATAAGTGATTGTGCTACCTGTATAAAGGATGGCAATTACCTCATTAGTATAATCTACTAAGTAGTGAAATCCAAATTCTACTCATTCACAAAAGGTAAACATAATTGGTATACTTCATACCAAAAAATTATTTTATAAAGCTTATCTTCATATTTCAGTTAAACATTCAGCTGATATAAAATATTACCTTAAAAGAACATCCAAGCAATGCTTTGGATTTTCTTTTATTTTTTGGCAAAATTCAAGAAAAACATGATTGTTTGAAGTTGCTTTGCTGCTCTGGAATTAGTTAAGAACCACCTGAGATTCCTTTGCATTTCCACCCTTCGTGCTTCCAGTGGTTAAATGTGCTGGGCACACGATGTAGAGAGCACTAAAGAGGCCACAAAGTTTTTTATGAACTTCAAATTAATGTACAGAATATAAGCATTTAAAAATAACTTTCAGATATGCATACAGTCCAAGAAAATCCTTTAGTATTCTTAGCATCATATACTTTGGGAAAAAATTAATTTCTCTTTTGATGGTTCAAGAAGTCAGTCTTTTCTCCACAGTTTCTTGATAAGCAACAAACCTTCTCAAATTCATCTTCACATTGTCGAGAACACACAGCTGATCTGTACTGTATTTACCTCGCCCTTCTTTACGTATCTGCAAAAAACCAAATCTTATGACTTGGTATATATTGCTAATTCATTTAAATAAATAAAGTATGTAATTTAGGGTATATTTAACCATTTCCAGAACAAGATAGCTGCAAGATTTTGGTAAAACATTTTTACTTTCAAAGTAAATGGAACACAGTAAATGAAAAATAAATTTACAATGTGCACCTTTAAAATAACAGTTACAAAAACGACTGAATCACAAATTTTAAAAAATAAAACTCCAGGCTAGCCTCTGGCTAACAAAGAATATAGAGCTTCGTACTTTTGAAAATAGAAAAACAATTAAATGTTATTGCCACAGCAATGTACACTAAGTAGGAAAATCAGTCAGAACAACAGAACTTCCAGAAGTTCTGGGGTGGATTTTCCCAGTTCATAGTTTAACTCCTTTCTAAGCATTTACTTCAGCAGAGTTTGCTACCTGGGACTATAGGTGCATGCCAGTGCACCTGCCTATTACTAAATTTTTAAATGTAACATGCCAAAACATAAATATGTTACAAACAAACCAATATTAATGTTCTTAAAAAAAAAACACTCGCTTCACATGTAACAATGACATAATGTACAAGACATTTGTTATTTTTCTTTTTTTCTGAAAACTATTTATGCCTTAAAAAATTTTCAGAAACTTTAAATTTCTACATACACAATCATATTCACCTAAAAATTCATCATACAGTTCTTCTCTCCATAAGAAACCAATTCTGCATTATGAGCTTGTTGGATAAAATAAATATTGGAAAACAACAAAAGTAAGCAAATTTCTCATCAAAACCTCTATTCTTTTTTCCTGAAACTTCTGGACTCAAGCGACACTCCCAGCTCAGCCTCCCAAGTAAATTTCTATTTTTTCACAAAGATTTAGAAGCAAATGTTTAATCTGAAATCTAAAAATATAAATATTTGCATTTCTCAAAATTATATAATTTTAAAATTGGGAGTTAGATAAGAGGAGAATGGTAAATTGTAAACAGACACATAATTCAAATTTGTTTTTATGTTCTCCTATCCCATTACAAAAACAGTCTTGTTTTTTGTTTCTTTTTGAGACTATGTCCATTCTGTTGCCTGGACTAGAGTGCAGCAGCGTCATCATAGCTCACAGCAACCTCACACTCCTGGGCTCAAGTGATGCTCCTGCCTCAGCCTTTCCAGTCACTGACACTATAGGTGCGTGCCACCTAATTTTTTATATTTTTTGTACAGATGGGATCTAGCTCTTGATCAGGCTGGTCTCAAACTCCTAGCCTCAAGTGATCCTCCCGCCTTGGCCTCCCAGAGTGTTAGAATTACTGGTGTGAGTCACCTGCTAGGCCTCAAAACAGTTTTTGAAATTAATTTTTGACTCAAAGTTAGCTTTGATGTTTCTGACAAAACAATAAATAAATATAACGTAGGCAGTAGCTACATTCTCCAATGCAGAACAGCCTGGAGTTTGCTCTTTTTTTCAGATCACCAAAGAAACATCCGTAACAATGAAATCAGCTTATAATGTATTACATGACATAAAATAAATTTAAAATGTATATGAAAGTACTTTGTAAACTATAGAGTATAGTACTTATATATATGAAGCACTGTTAACATAACTAAACTTAAAAAAGAGAAATTTGTCAGGTACCATTTTGGCTTCAAGTTACAGTGATTCAGCAATAACACGGCCGAGCTATGACTCAGTCAACAAGCATTATACAAAGTACTGGGGATGAAGTGCTACATGAATCGCTGAGATTCACAGGAATCTATCATCTACAGCCTCTAAATTGCATGGTGGTAACTACACACACCCTCATCCCCACAGAATGTTGATACTATGCAAGTACAAATAAAACGGCCACAAACCTTCATTTTGAAGACTGGCTGGAATTCTTTCAGAGTAGATAATAATTTAATTTGAATTGAAGCTCTTTCAGCTTCTTTACCATCTGCAAAAACATCAAAGAGGGCGTCCAGAGCTTCTCCTGCTACTACAAGGGAAGGATCTTTGGTGGCAACCTCAAGCAGAAAGCACCCAATGGCCTGGAAACAACAAAACACATTGTAATATGACTAACATCAGTCTCCCAAATGAGTAAGAACTTTAAATGTGGCAATAATTTATGCATACTATTTATATAAAAATGCCAGGAAAAATTAAAACTTATACTGATAAATATACCAAGTACAATATAAGCCAGATAATAAAACATATTATAATTTATATCCCTAAAGTGAATAAAGATCCATAAATGATGTATGATCTTGGAAATCATTAGAGTTTCCCATCTACCTCCCTCAAAAAAGCTTTTTGCATGAGGTCAAAATGCATAGAAATCTTATCTATAACAACAAAAAAATCTGCTTTTAAAAGTATATGAAGATTTTTAAAAATCTCTAACATTTAATCTCATTTTTGTCCACTATATTGGTTGAATTTTAACATCCACCAGTTTTTTTTCTGCAATTTGCTAGCTAATGAGTGGATCATGCAAAGAACTGTTTCAGAGTAAACTCATTTTTAGTTCAGCTGTTCTGCTCCACTCTTTATGTCTCAAGGATGAGGTCCCATCTGATCTTACAGATGGGACAGTAGAAATGCCCAGAACCACAAGTCCAAAGTTCAGCTCCACCGTAAACAACAGGTGACTCCTGAACAGGTATCCTCTCTGCGTCTCAATGTTCTCACCTAACATACGTGGTCTAAGACTGTATTCAGATATAATATCCTATAACATAATATGAAGCACAAAGCACCATCCCTGAAGCAGTCTCATTAGAAAGGACTGATCTGAATCTAATCTTGCCTTTAAATCTGACTTCCAGTTTGCAGGAAATACAGAAGATAAAGGAATAAGCTTAATACCACAAGAAAGCAATCAGACAAATCCAGGTTGGACATTATATGGGATGGCTACTCCAGGAACTGAGGAAAGACTGGTGGTGTTGGGATGTACTAGGAGTGGAGAGGAACTATTCTAGATTAAAAGAGACAAAGAAAACACCAAACCAAGCCTAACATGTGGGCTCTACGCTTTAAACAAACTATCTATAAATAGCTATTTTTTAGATAACTGGAAAATTATGAATATGAACCAGGTATTAGACATATTAAGAAATGACTGTCAATTGTGTAATTAACATGATAATGGCAGTTATAAAAAATTGTCTCTATTTTTAAGAGGAGCATCCTGAACCAATAGGGGAGAAATACCATGGTTTGTCTTTACTTTCCTTTAATACACCCAGTAAAGAAACTATATGTAGTACATATGCTAGAATATTAATGAATGTTAAATCTTCTTATAGGAACACAAAATTCATTGTACTTTCTGCTTTTCTACATGCTTGTAAATGTGATTAAAAAACAATTTTTAAGTCTTATGTCTGGGAAAAATATGCTGTTCCACTAAGGTGGACCTTGGAAACTATAGTCGTGGGGAGGCAATGGTTATACCTACACACACCCATCCGTATGTGTGTACACATACATGCCACACAGCCGCATGCTCTCTCATTTACCTAGCTGTGTATCAAAAGCCCCTAGAATGATACAGAGGAAGTGGATAACAGCAGCTGCCTCTCCAGCGGTGAACTGGGGGACTGGTAGTTTATAAGTACAGAGGTCAATCTTTCCACTATATACGCTTTTGTACTTTTTAAAATACTTTGCTATATGTGTATATATATATTGTGTGTATATATATATATTGCTATATGTATATATATCATTTTTCCTAAACATTCTTAAAAACCTCAGTCATCACTGTAAAGCAATTAGTAGGTTAAGAGGTACTTTGTATTGGCACTACCAGAGTTGCTGCTTAAAATTTATGGAGTGATGTCACATTAACTATGTGGTATTTTTCAGAATGTACTTTACCTGGTGTATAAAGAAAACCGGGAGGATTGTTCAGAACACAACATACATATGGTTTATGCAATGGCAAAGGCGGAAGGCATCTTAGAAAATTCTGAATTTGTCCTTTCAATGAAGACAATTTTACTTTTGAAAAAGTATCTCTGAAATAAAGTTGAATTGCAAAATGCAGCTCAACTTTTCAAGTACTTAACTAATGCATGCAGTTAGATCATGTTCTAATAATATAACTTAATCAGCAACTTTTTGATATGATTTCTTCTCTTCATGTCCATAGAAATTTTTATTTTTTATTTTTTTTAGCAGTGGGGGGTTGAAACACCAACTTTAGTGACACTAATGTTAATAAGTTCTGATAATCCACTACCATCGGACCAGCCTGTCCACAGAAATTTAAACAATCCTACACTCACAGTTATTCTCCTCCCATTTCTAATTACTTAACATGTTAGGTTAGAAGCAAACTGTTTTACCTTAAGAGTTTCAAGTGTACCATCTTCTTTGGCTAGGATGCTGCCAGTGATCCCTAAAATGCTAACAACGTTGACTCGAACCCCAACATTACTACTATGAATGCTTGCTTTGCATAATGTCATCAGCTGATCAGGAGTCAGGCACTGTTGGAAGAGAAGAGCAGAGTACTTACAGTGTTACACTCAACCAACCCCACTAGCATGTGAAAACAGGACTGACAGGAATCTCTTTTATAGGCTGCATGATTCTAAGAGTGACATAAACTCCTGGCAGAGAGGTATTACATATCCTAATTACTGCAATATAGCTGGTAATTCTAAACTAAGATGAGCCCTGCTTATGTTGCTATCAATATCCAATCTATAAAAGGGGTCCCAGGTCCCGTAAGTTTCATTTAAAGACAACCTTCATTCCACATGTACAGACTAAAGAGATTCTAATCTCTTTTTAGTATTAATCATAAAAAAGGTTTTGAAAGTACAAAGAGGATCACCTAGCTTTAACAAAAATAGGCTAAGTATGAATTTACTTTGAGATGTTTATGTTATCATAAATTATTATGTTTTTAGAGACAAGGTCTCATTCTGTCACCTAGGCTGGAGTGCAGTGGCACAATCATAGCTCACTGCAGCCTTCAACCTCTGGGTTCCAGTGACCCTCCTGCCTCAGCCTCCTGCATAGCTAGAACTACAGGTGTGCATTACCATGTGCAGGTAATTTTTATTTTTTTAAAAAATGTTTTTTAGAGATAGGGTCTCACTATGTTGCCCAGGCTGATCTTGAACTCCTAGCATCAGGCAATCCTCCCACCTCAGCCTCCTCAGTCGCTGGGATTACAGGTGTGAGCCACCATGCCTGGCTCATCATAAGTTATTAAAGATTGTAAAATGCTGGCTCACACCTGTAATCCCAGCACTTTGGGAAGCTGAGGCAGGAGGATCACTTAAGACCAATCTGGGCAACATAGCAAGACCCTGTCTCTATGGAAGACAAGGCCACTGAAGAAAAGGAAATGAAAGAACTGCAGAGGCAAGTTACTGGAAGAATCATCTATGTAGATACTAACAATATCTAAAATTTTGACAGAGCCAGGGAACAGGAACAGAATCCACCAGCAGGAACCTTCAAGGAGAGAGGAGCACCCCAGGGAATGGAAGAGGACTGTAACAAAGAAGTGGGTGGTATGGTCCAATGACATGTTAATTAGACGTGTTAACAACTAGAGGATTTTAGAAAGGAGAATGTGTTAGAATAGCGGTTCCCAAACTTTATCATGCATGAGAGTCACCTGGAGAACATGTTAAAACATAGATTGCTGGGCCCTCCTCAAAGTTTCTTTTTCAGCAGGTTAGGAGTGAGGCCCTAGAACTTGTCCTTGTATATTTAATACAAAGAAGAAAAAGGACCATTCCAATAGAAGAATGGGTGAGACAGTCACAAAGGAACAGTCACAAAGTAATGCAAAAGATCTTTAGACACGTGAAAAGAAGTCCAGCCTCCTCGTAATAAAAGAAATGCTGAGTTAAAATTGAGATATAATCTCTCACTTATCCAACTGGTAAAAAACAACCTTTTGGTAACAGATGCTGCTGGCGAGGCCATGGCAAAACTGGCACTCCCAAGCACTGCAGGTAGAGATGAAAGATGGCTCAGACCCTGGGAAGGGACTAGCAAAATTACAAATCCACTTCTAGGAATCTGCTCCAAAAACACAATGGCAAAGATAAAACGTAATGTGTAAAAAAGTTCATTTTAGGCCGGGCGCAGTGGCTCACACCTGTAATCCCAGCACTCTGGGAGGCCGAGGCGGGCAGATTGCTCGAGGTCAGGAGTTCGAAACCAGCCTGAACAAGAGTGAGACCCCGTCTCTACTATAAAGCAAAAGAAGTTAATTGGCCAACTAATATATATAGAAAAAATTAGCCGGCCATGGTGGTGCATGCCTGTTGTCCCAGCTACTCGGGAGGCTGAAGCAGGAGGATTGCTTGAGCCCAGGAGTTTGAGGTTGCTGTGAGCTAGGCTGATGCCACGGCACTCACTCTAGCCTGGACAACAAAGCGAGACTCTGTCTCAAAAAAAAAAAAAAAAAGAATTCAGTTCTTGTACTTAATGTTATGTCTGAGAAGGAGAAATGTTAAACCAGTTACAATGGAATATTTGAAGAATACACTGAATATAACACAATGGAGTCACATTATTTGATGGTTAGATTCCTTTTTTTTTTTTTTTTTTTTACTTTTTGTAGAGATGAGGTCTTGCTATGTTGCCCAGACTGGTCTCAAACTCCTGGGCTCAAGTGATCCTTCCATCTCGGCCTCCCAAAGTGCTGGGATTACAGGTATGAGCCACCACACTCCGCCTTGGTGGTTAGATTTTAAATTCAGTAAAGCAAGCAAGTATCTTCAAGTTTACCCTCAAAAATCCTTAAAGACACTCTGAGCCAAGGAGCTGAGAGAGCAAGAAATTCACATCTCCCGTGTTACCCCCGTTCCAGGAATGCCTGCTGGGTAGAGTATTGTGGAAACTTTTCCTTTACTATATATAAAAATACTATTTTTTCCTCTCTCTCAGTCTTGATCTTTTTTGTTTGTTTGGCTTGAGTTCCTATAGTTTAACATGGTCAAGTTAAATGAGAGTCTACTGTAATAAACTATAAAAATATGGTAGAATAACACATCAAACTCTGTACAGCTAGGTCATTCAAAAATAGTTAACTCTAGTATCTCTCTAGGTTTTTGTGTACACATGAAATTAATCCATATCAGAGACCTATAACTTACAGATTCAGTTCCCACATGCAAAAAGTATTTGAAGACAGATATGTGTAAGACAAAATGTGTGGACAGTATTCTCCCATTTGCCTTACACATAGTGCACTCTTTCTCATATCCAGAGAATATCTCTGGAAGAATATACCAGAAACTACTGTAACAGTGACTTGACTGTGGGAAAGGAACTGGGTGGTATGGGACAAAGGAGGGAGGATTTCTACTTTACATTGTCTAAAACTTTTGAATTTTATACTCTCTCTATATATATGTATTCCTAGATCAAATTTAAATTCTTATAATTAAGAATAAAAGAATAGGCTGGGCGCAGTGGCTCACGCCTATAATCCTAGCACTCTGGGAGGTCAAGGCGGGAGAATTGTTTGAGCTCAGGAACTCGAGACCAGCCTGAGCAAGAGGGAGATTCCATCTCTACTAAAAAAACAGAAAGATGATATAGTGAGGAAGTATCTGGGGAAAAAAAAAAAAGAAAAAGAAGAAAGTTTTAAAATATATATATATATTATATATATGTATATATAAATTATATATATACATATATAATTTAAAAAAAATAGAAATAAATTAGCTGGACAACTAAAAATATATAGAAAAAATTAGCCAGGCATGGTGGCGTGTGCCTGTAGTCCCAGCTAATAGGGAGACTGAGGCAGGAGGATTGCTTAAACCCAGGAGTCTGAAGTTGCTGTGAGCTAGGCTGACACCACAGCACTCTAGCCCAGGCAGAGTGAGACTCTGTCTCAAAAAAAAAAAAAAAAAAGAATAAAAGAATAGAATTATCCAAATACCTTAATGAAGCCTTGATAATATTTATGATTCAACTTAATTGGCCTGACATAACTGGATGAAAACAATTTTAATAAAAAAGAAAATTATAACCCACAAGCTGCTGTATACCTTGTCTTGACTCTATATCCCTGGGCAACTATAATCTTATTGTTAGTGTCTGGGAAAGGTTTCTGCAGGTTAGATGACAAACAATGTATAACTACAAGATCCAAGTTCCTGCCCCTTCAAAATTCTGCTGCATGCAGTCGTCTTTCACAATAAGGCCTAAACATTTACCTGGTTGAGAAAAAAGAAGTTGTGACAGATGCTGTGCGATGTCTGTAGGCGTGGGCTCCTCCAGATGGTCCACCTCCAGGAGGGACACAAGAGTCTGGAGACACATGAGGGCTCTACATTGTACGGTGTTCATTCTAGAAAGGAAGTGAGACAATGCTGTCTCTTTAAGTTACCCATCAGAATTCAGTAATAACTTTTAACCTAAACTTCAGGTTCTGACAGGGGATATCTGTAAATACAAGGGGGTCTATGCAGTAGCTAAGAATCAGGTGAACTGTTAATCTGCCAAATCTAATGCTTGAGCATTCAAAGCCTCTGATGCACAACTCATTCATGAGACATGAGAAATCGTTTAGAAAAATTTCTACACAAGGTAGCATCTTTGAAATTATTCTTAATTGTGAAATATGGCATATATATGTAAAGTATACAACATATATAGAGTTTAACAAACAGTCTATGAAGCAAATATGCCTGCACCTGGATAAGAAACACACTGCCAGCACCCTACAGCCCATGTATCTCTTCTACAATTCCCACTTTCCTGACCCTTAGAGGTAACCACTCTCCAGACTTCATGGTAAATATTCCTGTCTTTCTTTTTTTAAAAAATAGGTTAACACCTACGTATGCATCCTAAACAAAAGTTTCAGTGTTGCCTATTTTGAACTTTGTAAAAACTAAAATCAGTGTGCATATCTTTTGTGTTTCGCTTTTTGGTTCAATGTAAGTTCTTCCATGCTGTGAATGGTTCTAGTTCAGATCCTTTTACTACTATCTGCATTCTACTACGCACGATTATATCAGAACTTACTTAGCAATCTAACTCTGATAAACATCAAGGTTGTTTCCAGGTCGGGCAATGTGAACCACAGCTATGGCATCCTCATGTGTGTATCCTAGGCACATGTGCACGTATTTTTTACAGTATAGCCAAAGGAGCGAAACTTCTAGGTCTTAGGGGGAGTCAGCATCTTTATTTGATGGTCCATCATTTCATATAATACATAAAGACAAATGCTTTTAAAAATATAAAAGTTCTTACTTTCTAATCAAAGTTTCAAGTAGGTTCTAGAAATAGGTCAACTGCAATGCGTTTTGGAAAGGCAGTTTCTCCAAAATCTAGATTTAAAAAAGCAGTACAAAGGTTAAAAAGTAGTCATTTTACACGATTCTTTATAAAATTCAACATACATATTTCTAAGCAAAATGGTTAATTGATAAGGATCAAATAACCTTTAGCTTTATTTCCAGTATGTTTTAATAGTTTGGTTTGTGTCTCAGACTTA